GACCGTTTATGCAAATTACCCTTAAGTTTTGGGTGTTGAGCTCTCTTATCCGGTCTTTATCCGGTTTTTTATCTCAAATCTAAGCCCAAAGATTGAATTGGATTGTTTACTATCCGGTCCCGGTCCGAATTATACGGTCCAGTTTCCGGTTTTTAATCCGGTCCCGGTCAAAATAGCTACCCCTAATTCCCGGTCCCTCTAGAGGAGTCAACATTTGTACGAGAAACAAAGATATGTATGGATGATTTCTGTTGAATGATGCCCTAAGATACGGCTCACCGCCATTGAAATAATGGAATTGGATATGAAATCAATATATATAAAGTTAAAGTTGGGTTACTGTTGCATAACCACTTACATTTTGATACCCAAAAATTAATTAAATCGCAATTTAATCACTATAATGTACATTTTACATTTAGATACTCCAAATTTAATTTTAATGTAAAATCATTGAACAATTATTTTTGTATCTAGACTTTATGAATTATGTTGGCATCTAAATTTTATGAGATTTTCGTAACTAATATCCCCAATTTAATTAAATCACAAATTAGTCACTATAATGTATATTTTACATTTTGATACCCAAATTTAATTTTTAATATAAAACAATTGAATAATTATATTTGGTATATAAATTTTTTGAGATTTTCGTACCTAGAATTTTTTAAATATACATAATGGTCAATGTTTAGATTTTATTTGAATCCATGAATACAACCCACCAATTCTTTTGAACCAATCCATGAATCCAATTCACCATAATATAAAAGTACACATTTAGTCTATACAATACAAGATGTTGTATCACTCAATCGTAGGAGAAGACTCAACCCTTTTATATTTGCTCATAACGTGAAATATTAAATAAATGATGAAAAAGAGACGACTCAATAATATAACATCAGCGAATTTATAAACTCATTTAGTACAATTACTAGATACTAAACAAACTTCTACTAACTACATGTAACAAAATATGCGACATCTACATAAGCAAGCGTCAATAAATTGCTACGGTGAAAAGGGTTGTTTGTTGTATTGACGGCCAACTAAAAGAATTTATCAAAACCTTCCATCATCTACTCCCTCTTCATTTCGATTTTCACTCGCCTTCCATAACCCTTTCTTTATTTCTTTCTTTGCCTTCTTCGTGTAACCCTAATTAGTATACTATGTATTCTAATCACAAGTATGAACGAGTCCATACACGACTCACCAATAGTCTAGAGAATTAATAATTGAACCATGACCACTACCTTTTTCAGCTCGTATCAAGTCCAATTAAAAATAAATATATATATGGTTATTACTCATTAGAAAGTCGTCATTTTCCACTATGAGATTTAAAGGCGTGAAATATTAAGCGAGTTCCAGTTTGTACCTAAACTTGATTAATCTTTAGATTTATAAACTAAATTTATTTTTTTGGCATATAAGTCCTCAAAATATTGATGGAACATTATATTTTAGTACCTAAAATTTTTGTGTATTATATTTTGGTGCCTAAACTTTTGAAGTTCTACATACAGGTCTAATTTTTGTATGTGTAATTAAAGCACCCTCGAATAAATGGGTATCCATACCCAACTCATACAAATTTAGATTATGGAAGTAAATATACATACCTTATCCAAACCGATCTACTAACTTCCAAACACATATATACATACGTCACCCATACCCTATCCATAATCAATGGGTCTACCAGGGTTTAGGTAAATATCATTTATTAGCCAAAATTTTCAAAAAAAAATTAAATTAAATTGAATGTTGACCACCATATATCTCTTCTATGTCAATATTACTAACTAAACTGCTAACAAAAAAAATAAGTTTAGGCCAATAATACTAACAAAATACTATAACGGGCCACTTAATACATGCACATAGGTCATCTCCACTGCGCGACAAGGCGCGATATCACCACCTAGTATGTATTAAAAAAAAAGATAAAGAGAGAAGAACAAATCGAGGGGGATCAGAAGATGATCAACATGGTATGTTTTGTACCCTCCATGTGAAATCAGTTGTTTGGGTCGTCAGGAAACATTAAACTTTCTACCGGTCAGAATTGCAACTACTACATGATGCATGGGATATCCGCCATATGAGAGACCACAAACTGACATGGAAAGAGCTAGGCCTCCCTAAAGGGACAAGGGACTGCTGCTCAGGCTATATGCATGGTTGCAGAAAGTGCTTTGCATGTGTGAGTGGAGACAAAACCAGAATTTCCATGTCGATCACTTTGTGATGTGATGAGTTACTCGTGAATGTAGTTTATTCAGGATGGTGAAATGGTTGAGCTCGGTTAATCCAATAATCAATCACAAAAATGTAACTGAAAGCATTGAAAACAATGGTCAATCGAAGTCATTGACAATCTATAAGTCTTTAACTGCTCGATTTCGTTATGAAGAAATTATAAAGCTAAATTGGTTCAGTCGTATTAGTGTTATTATTAAAGGTTTCTTAGCAATTTATTGATTTGTTTTGATCGAAACAAATTACAGAATATTCGCTTTAATTACGGGGTTTTAAGTTTAATTTTGCTAACCAAAAAAATCGGAACCCGTTTTAGCAATCATAGTTTAGACTTAAAGTCACGCTTTAAAATTTAAAAAATTACGCTATTCACTTTTAGGTAAAAAAACGCTTTTATACAAAATCGCAGTTTTATAAATAATGTAATTAAAAAAGCATTTTACAGCTTAAAATGTTATGATTTACACTTCTAAATCACCAAAACACGTTTACATAAAAACACACTTTTGACTGTATGGGATATCAGTGGAATGCATAATCCAAAGAAAGCTCCCACTTCTTGACATATAAAAAAAAATTCACCTCTTTTTTGGGCCCTTACCCTTTGCTATCATCTGGGATCTGGCCAAAATTTCCAATTTTAGCAGCAATCATGTACTTGAATCATTTTTCCATTCTGGACAAAAGCAAATTCTTTTTATTGTTTACTCATTCTGCAGAAACCCAAAACCATGAGATTGCTTGTTGCCTTCTTCATCTTCCAACAACAGGGGTACCTATTTGATTACATTATCTTCAAAATGTGCCAAAAGGTAATTATTAACAAAAAAATGCGGAGTAACTAAAATGCAAAAAAAAAAAAGGACCCACTTCGAGGGAAAAATTGGTTTTTTTTACCAAACAGGTAAATATACCCAGCTGAAAAAGGATCCTTTTGAGATAAAAATAAAACACTGTGGGGTTAACGTAACTTGATTCCTAGCTAATGATGAACCAGATTTTGATCATGATTTGGATTTTGGTAGGGCAATTATGGTTGTCCAGGAATCTTTTTGATCGTCTGTATCCCTTATTTGGAATTTTGACCAAACTGACCAAATTATGACAGGTTTTCTACCCAAAACTTGTTTTCCTGATGAAATGACAGCATTCTAATTGTAATTGAAGAAGCCCTGAACCATAAAACTGCTCATTTTACCACCATACAGTATCCCCCCTCCCCCCTTCATTTTCCCCCTCGTGAAATCAAATTGTAGGGGTTCAAATATTCAATTCATGCCGAACACGGCCAATCGTCCATGCTGAGATAATTTTTCTTCACACAAATCACCATCGCGTTTGATCCCAACTACAACTGACGATGACTCTACGATATTAGCACCAGTTTTGTTTAAGCAGTACGTCAACATGTTATAAATATTAGCTGTTCGGCCTCTCGAACAATTAGCAACATATCAAATAACTAAGCAACCCGGCCTCCACGAACGAACAATGGTCTTTTTTTCTTCTTCTTCTTTGTCATAAGCACAAACATAAAAACTGACGTGATGCACCGGTTTGTCATAATTCGCGTCCAACCATCGCCCCGCGCATCAACAGTTTGGATCTTTGGCTCCATCGAATCAATGATAATCATTTTGTTCGAAGATCACCCTGCAGAGATCATCCACAAAATTTTTTCCCTATAATTCTTTGCTAGTTGTCGAGGATTGACACATTCAAAGGCATAAATTGTGTAGCTAATTATAGAATATACTCATTTTTTTTTTTTTTGCTGAATTAATGCCACATGCAAGAGTGGTGCATGTGGGCGCAGAGAGTACAAAATAGAAAAGGATACAATTGTGGGGATGGTAGGGGACGTCGATATCTCGTTGTTTACCGGATGCCATCTCACAATGAAGAAGAAGAAGAAGACCAAGAATCCATCAGACTACGACCTTAGATTTTCTACACCACCAGGGGAACACTATTACAAAATTAATCAATTAATTAATTTTTCCACTGATTAAATTGGAAATTTGGTCACTAAAATAACGTCGACCATAATGGACATGTCACATGTGAGTGAGCTGAACTTGGTCAGGTTTCTTATTTGGATGAAATGAGGGGAAAAATATACTTTAGTAATCTTCTTCAATAATTAACATTTCAGGATAAATCTCATTCATTAGGTATTTTTCGTTTTACTACGAAGTTTGTCTCGCTAACCTAGTGACTTACTTTTCACCCTAAACTAACTAATAATATTGGTTAGAGCGCATCTATACGGGGAACCAGACAAGTTCTAGGAGTGTCTCGAGACACCACTAAAATAGTAAAATTTTTGAAAACGATTATCGATCCTCCAATAGTAGTTTGAGTATGTGAAAAAACACAAAAAAGAAAGTGCAGTTTATGTGATTTAAACCCATGACGCTATTGATATTAATGAATATGTTCTCCATTGGTCTAGAACACTTATTTATTTATTTAAAACATAAATATAATTACATCCCAATTTTTTTCTTCAAAACTACTAATTACCTCCAATTCGGCTAAGGTCTATCCCGTCCTGATCACCATTCTAACACACGAAGAAAAAGTTTCAAAATATTGTACTGGTCCAATATTATTTATTTATTTATCATACGAAATACTACTATATATAATTTTTTTATGAATTTACTATATATAATTTTTGGGTCCGTTACTCATTATAAAAATATGTAATTAGTTCATTACAACTATTAACTAGCTAAGCAACAAGCCAATTAAAAATCAGCTTAGTAAGTAGGAGTTAGGACCATCTTCTTATAAAATTGCTTTCCAGAGGAAGCCAAAGGAAAGGAATAACTAAAAATAAAATACAATAGATTACCATTTGCTTTGCTCCCATTTCTGTCAACAATACCAACTACAAAAACCCCCCTCTAAGAGTCACTCTCCTCCCTCTTCCCCACCTTCATTCATTCATTCTCTTCTTTCACGCATTTCATCGAACACCTTTCTTCCCCAGCACTTTTCCCCTTTTCACCAAAATGGCCAGACCACAACAACGGTATAGAGGCGTCCGACAGCGCCACTGGGGATCCTGGGTTTCCGAAATTCGCCACCCATTATTGTAAGACCTCTCATTCTCTCCATTCTCCAACGTTTCATGAACTCTCTCTGTTTCCTGGCCCCCAAACGTTTCGCTCCCCCTGTATGTCCTCAGACATTTTCTCATGTTGGTTTGTGTGTTTGCTTCTTTGATGAAAACAGGAAGACCAGAATCTGGCTCGGCACGTTCGAGACGGCGGAGGACGCGGCTCGAGCTTACGACGAAGCGGCTCGGCTGATGTGCGGGCCAAGGACGAGGACCAACTTCCCGTACAACCCAAATGTGCCTCAGTCTGCTTCCTCCAAACTCCTGTCGGCCAATCTCACCGCCAAGCTGCACAGGTGCTACATGGCCTCGCTCCAAATGACCAAACAAGCTTCCCTTCAGCAGCAGCAGCAAGCTTCGAAGCCGCCAGCAGCTACTTATGCAAATGCCAGAGTGAAAACAGAGGAATTGGAGCAAGCCCAGGAAACAGAGTCGAATTGGGTGGGTGTGAATTGTAAGAATGTTCAAGTGGAGAGCAACCAGCAGCTGTTCAAGCCATTGGAGGATCATCAAATTGAGCAAATGATCGAGGAGCTGCTGCATTATGGGTCGATTGAGCTCTGTTCTTCCGCTTCACCTCAGCCTTTCTAAAGTTCAGTTGCCCTGCCCTGCCTCTAAAGTTGGAGTCTTTAATTAGCCAGCCATGTGTGGCAGTGGTTTCTAACACTACCCATTTGGCAATTGGTCTGATCTTTAACCCCATTCTTCATGGTCCTTCTCTTTAGAGAAGGTCCCCATCTCTCTATTTTATCTCTGTTGCTAGCTACTGCTTAGCCATATAGACCTCTTCTGGGTCCTCTCTAGAAAAAGTGTCTACTTAGTAACTTCATTCATGTACAGTAGGTCATATCATATCAATGTTGCTGCTGCTTATCATAATTTGAACATTTCCCCCTGCCTTAGGCTAATGTCATCACAAGTTATGTTTACAAGGTGTGGCATTCTAGCCGACCATCTCTTTCATTTTCTTCTGACTGGTTTTGGCAGCGAGAGATTTGGTGTTCGAATCGAGAAGATAACTAATGCCACAGATAAAGGCAATGAGTACGGGGGCGGTATGATGTCCATTGGTGGGCGGTTCGGGTTCATACTTGTGAAACAAGTAAATTGTAGCAGAGAGACTTCAACAGTGTAGAGTCAAGGGGTTAGTATGAACATTGAACAGTCTTGTGGTTTGAAGGGAACATAGCAGAGGAAAAGGTTACTGCTTTTCTTCGATTGAGTGCCATCTGCAGGCTTTCAGCTATCACTCTGAGGAAGAATGTGTAGGAACTTGGTATTGCGGATGGTAAAATGGGGGAAACAAAGAGCTCTTTTCAGCTTTTGCTTCAATTGGGATGGGTGGGGACACAGCTTTTTCTTCCAACTTGAGCTTCTAAGCGTGGTGTGTGGAACAAATCTGGTCTCCATGTTCCATGGGGATTTTCTTTTACCTTCCAAGGTCAAGTGCTATTTACTGTTTACCCGTGCATCCAGTAACGCATAAAAAGACACTGGCTGCCTCTGAAACAGAAGACTTCTCAATAAAAATTGTGGGTTAATGATATTGCTAGTTCTTGTATCGTAGTATTGCGGAAAAAAAAAAAAACTATCACCGTAGGCATCCTACTTAATCGATTTCGATTTTGTTGGGAAAAGTTCTATTAATATTATTTTTTGGTGGGTGTTTCCCAACCGAAGGGTAATGAGTTTGAGGTTAAAGTGTTTCTTTTAAAAAAATTATGTTGTGGTTAAAATAATGAACCCGTGGACCGGCCAAATCAAGGTTGTTCGTCCAATGTAATGTTTAACCGTTTAAAAATCGTTCTGTTCATTTCCATCCATCTAACACAAATAGATTGAACAACTATTATAAGCTTATAATTGGTTTGACGGTTCTACTAATTGAGCCACCGAACCATTTCGATTCTTATAACAATAATTACGAGTCAAATATCACCTGTCGAATTATCATCCTGCTCCTCCTTGCTATGGAGACACTACTCGATTAGTTTGATGGGTACAGATCATTTTTCCAACTTGTGTTTCCCCCCTTTTTTCCATTTATTAGTCATGAGAGTGACCAAGAACATTCAGAACAATGAAAACCCCTTTTATGAAATCCTTTTCATGGTTGGCGTTTGAAACGTTTTTGGATTCATGGGATCTGATAGAAGGCTAATTGGGGACATAGATTCCTGGGTGCTACAAAATCCTTTCATAAGAAAATAAGGTGCCAGTTGCCGCACGAAGTTCGATTGAGAGCTTCAATTATTTTCAACTGGTCCATACACAGTACTGGCAAAGGAGAGAACAAAAATTGAATCCATAACTAATGAGTTATCTCTCTTTTCACCTCGCTGAATGCCATTTGTAGTTGTTTCACTTCTGACTTTGTTGATTGGTTTACCATTTCAGGATCAGATGATTGATGGATAAAAGTTTGAACCTAGTTGGCCGGTAGGAATGTCAATTTCGACCTAAACATAATGAGTATCGAGATACCGTCCCGACCTACCGTGTTGCCATTCCTATTGGTCAGTGTTTGAGTGAGTTATTTCCTAGTAGGAAAATTTTTCTTTTGGTAGACCGACATCCAATCTTTGCACAAGTCTGTCATGTATTGTATTTAAATCAATTGTTAAGTGATCGTAAGAATTCATGTATAAGATCTCTTTGATACATAAATTTTTTGAGAGAATTAACGTACAAAAGTCCTCGATATTTACGGTAAAATTAAGAAGGAACCAGAATAAACATACATGAATGTGTATGATTTGTGGGTGTTGGTGTCTAGTCCATGTCACCAATGAAATGGAACTTGATGATTGTTGAGCCAGTGGGGGAAAATCGATTCTGTTCCCCACAACACAATTGGGGGAAGGGGAAGGGATATGAAGAAAGTCATGGTTAAAGTTTGGGGATGTACGTGTTAGCCTCATGATTCTGTTTTACTTTTGATTTCAGTAAAGTTGGATTAAAAATCATGGGCATGCTAGCCAGTGAGTTTTCCATCATTAGGAGTTTGAACTTTTGGCCATCTTACAAGGAGGAAATTGAATGCAAGGAAATAAAGATAGGTACTAGCTATTCATGGCTCATTGTTGGTGCCAAAATGTTTTGGCTAGAAAGTAAACAAACATGATTCCTATATATTGTCATTACATACCCAAAAAGGATAATACAAGTAGTCTAGTACAATTAGTAAACCAAGAATCTTTGCGTAAAGAGCAAATAAAAGCAAAATCAGCTAAACGGTGCAGTAACGTAAGATAATGAAGGACATGTCATGTCACATAATAAGAAATCGTATTGGCACTACTACATGTGGCGGAGAACAATGACTCGACAGTGTTGTACAAATTTCATAAATTGCCAGTAAGATAGCCCTACCTCAAACGTTCTTCCGAGTTGGAAGGGAGGCTTCACAGACCATTACACTATTGAAAAGTGATGTGTTCCTACTATCTCTATTATCCCAATCGTGGCTAAGTGCAATCAACGATCGAGTGTAGTATAGCGGAAGTAAAGTTTAATTATCAACTCAGGTGATAAATGCACTATTACTTCGCGGACTAACTTGTTATCTAGTAAATCAAGGTTTGAATCAACTACAAAACAAAGCAAAGAAAGTTGGTCGAAAACTGTCGAGAAAAAGTCACTTGGGTGACTTTTCCCCCTAGCTACAAAAAATAGACTGACGAATGATGTTCCAAGCATGCGGACTCATGATCTATACCACAGAGAATCCTATTCTCACTTGGACTCCCTCTCGAGTTATCCATTTAAGCTCACGTAGAAAGGACTATCCAGAGGAAGAGTTTCCACATTCGACAAAATAGAACATCTAGGTCGTGCCAAACATTTTCAATGTCGTCCGACTTCACGCTTTATTCATCGACCCACAACAAGAGCACTTCTACTACGCTGTATAGTATTGGTGCTTTAATGTACAACTTAAAGTTGTACCATAACATTAAATGTATAAGTTTAGGTTGTACCATAAAACAATTTGTACCATTATGTTATGGTACAACTTTACAACTTGAAGTTGTACCATCACATAAAGGTACAAGTTCAAGTTGTACCATAAAAGAATTTGTACAAAAAGTATAGGTACAATCTGAAGTTGTGCCATAACATAAATGTACAATTTTAAGTTGTACCATAAAAGCAAAAACCTATAGCACCAATACTATATAGCATTGTAAAATTTCTTCCACAACAAAAGGTACATACTCTATTTAACCTAAGTAATGAATTGATGACATGTACATGATATTTTCGAAGTAAATTATACATAAAGTATGTGAATCAGGAATCACCATAACTACCCTAGCTATCATAAGTGATATCCCCACACATTCCCTAAGAAATTAAAGTGGTGCCCCATATATTTGATTTTTCAGGACTGTGCCTGTGACCAACCAACCTCTAGCATTTCTCTCTCTGATTTGGAAGGATGTATAAAACTAAAAGCCTCATTTTTCACTCACTCCAACAATCAAAAGTAGCCATATCGTGAATTCCACACTGTTTATCATATTAAACTCATTGCAGACAACTAACTGCATCTAAGTAATAATTAAGCGGCTTTTGTTCTCTTGTGGCTTCATTCCATAGCAGAATTTTACTCTGTATAGACGACCTGATTATTTAATGGATTAAGCCTGGATTGGTGACTGAAACAAAGCTCAATAATTTTTATTTTATTTTCTTAGGTAAGAGTACAAGATGTCTTGAAGGAAATTTTCATTGACTAAAAAAGTATCTCGTTCTAGTTGTAAAACTAACAGGTTATGCATTGGCGGTACATCATTAATACAACCTGAATCTATAATCATTACGGATACCTCAACTCCCACAATTGGATGAATAAGACATATGACAAATGCACAACCATTCATCTAAAAAACACAAACAAAACTAACAATGTTTTTTTATGGGAATCTGCGCAGAGCTTTATTAATCAACTAGAACTATTACATCATCCAGCTGCAGCTGATCAAGCAGAAAAACAGGTGGTCTATCAAACCATATAACAACCTCATCCCAACTAGTTCCCGTATGAGCCATAACATGTGCTGCTTCATTTGCCTTTCGACTAGCATATTTCCAATCCCCTCCTCCTACCTCCAGCAAAAGCTTCCTAATCTTGCCACACACTACTCCCACTTAAGTTTGAATTTCGTGCGCCACATTAAGACTCTTCACAAGATTCATGCAGTCTACTTCGAGGGTAGGTACTCCCAGCTGATGTTGAGCTGCAATTTGTATGCCCATCTCCACCGCTAGAGCCTCTCCTAGCTCTGGGTTATTCCCTCCTCTTATACGTTTAGCTGCTGCCAGTAAAAACCTCCCCTCTGCATCTCTAATGACCACGCCAAAACCCATTCCTTCCGCATCAATGCCCACATCCGTATTAACCTTGATAATGCCCACATCCATTGTTGCGGCACTTCCTAAGCTGGGAGCATAGTTTCGTCTCCTTGATATTGGCGATACTCATCAGCATAGGTAGCGGCTCGCATAAGGATCTCCTCTTCTGGCGCTTTCGTTCCATTAAACAGATGAGCGTTGCGCTCCTTCCATAAAGACCATAGAAGTACCGCCCAATCTTCAAACTCTGTCGTGGTGGCTTTGTCCAACACATTCCGGGTCCAGATCAGACAGTCTTCATCTTCCCTCAGCTCAAACCACTGGGACAGATTGGAATTCCTCCATATCCTTCCCGACCAGCCACATTCCCCGAACAGATGGACTTGTGCCTCTCTCAAGTTGCAAAATGGGCATGCGTCACCTCTTCTTTCGCTTTTAGCGCTAATTTTATCGCATGTTGCCAAAGAATTACGCGCAAACCGCCACATGAAATGCCTTACCTTGGGAGGTACATTCATCTTCCAAATACTGCTCCACACTCTAGCCTCCCCGACCGGTTGGTAGTCATGTGTCCTGTTAAACTCTTCCAGCCACCTTCGATACCCGTCTCGCACCTCATATTTGTTGTTCGAACTCTCAGCCCATATAAGCTTATCGGCCTCGTCCATCCCTCGCACTGGGATCTGCAAAATGGCTTGAGCCATTGCTGTCGGCAAGCAACTTTCAATTAATGCTGAATCCCACTGCTCAGTCTGCGGGTCAATAAGTTCACTAACCTTCGAGTCCACCGGTAGCCCCATCGGTGCAGATTGGACAAAGAAGCCTTGCACAGATGGGACCCAACGATCACCCCATATCCGCACCTTGTCCTCGTTCCCTACTCGCCATCTCAGCCCACCACACAACCACTCTTGTGCGCTCATGAGACTCCGCCATACAAAACTCGGTCGTGGTCCCACCTTTGCTTCCAAAACCTCGACATGCTTGTGGTACTTGGCCTTCAACACAATGTAGTACTTATTTTGATAGGTTTTGTTATTATTCGTTTTTATTCTGTTTCAATGTACACCTTCAGCTCATATATAGGTGAACATACGAGTATCCAAAAAAACCATATAACGATTTTAGCTAGCAATTAGCAACTAGACGTAGTAAAATAAAGGGTAAATACAATATATTAGCCACAACTATTATGAAGCAGGGAATTATAGCCACAACTATGAAAATTCAAATTATTAGCCATAACTATTGTTGCGGGTCAAGATATGGCTAACTGTCTGTTACTGTTATTGAATTTTTTACGGAGAAGGCCACGCCAGCGGCCATGTCGGAATGCTTTTAATTTATAGCTCTAAAACATAAAAGTTTAATCAGTATTACTAACGAAATTGTTAACAGATAGTTAACGTTTGGCTAATAATTTGATTTTCCATAGTTGTGGTCATAATTTCCCGCTTCATAATAGTTGTGGCTAATATATTGTATTTACCCTAAAATAAAAGAAGACAAAGTGAGGGCGAGGGATAAAAAAGGGGGGAAATTGAGTAGTGGAAGGGGAGAATTTCCTAAGATGGAATAAAAAAAAGTGGTCAAAACCAATGATGGTTTTCCAATCATGTTGTATACCGGAGAATCTTATATGGTAATGTTGGAGAAGGGACAAATCACACACCATACACATACATACATAACCTCATTTTCTTCCAATTTTCATTCACTTGGCTGAAAAAACAGTTTGTGTCGATGCAATGAGGGAAGTTGATGATTGGGTTTAGATGCGTTGGATCAAGTGATGATGATCAATCTTTGCGAAATTCCAAAAAGACTATTGGATTGGGATTGGAACAAACGAAAAGATAGAAACCAACATGAAAAACTCAAAAAAGATTGGTGGCCTACTCTCTATAAAGCTCAAATGCTTTTATTAAAATTTGTGGTTTTTTTTTTGGTGTGTTTATTCTTGAGTACATGAGTTGGGATTCTTTTATTATACAACATCGATTTACTCGTATTAAAATATTTTATGTTGATGACGGCAAAAAAATAAAATAATAATAATAAATAAATAATTAGTTATAGAGTTAGCGGTTTTTTCTAACGTTGTAGAATCAGTCAAAGTATGAACCTGTATAGTGAGCGATTAGGATTTTATCGGTTAAATATTATAAACTTGTTAAAAATTTGGTAAATTATAACAAGGGAAACATAAGTTATTCAAACAAGAATGATATAATAAACATAATAATTAAATCTTGAAATTTTGAAAGGAATTACAATTGTTGTTAAACATGCAAGAAAAATATTTACTAGGCATTTAAAAAAAATAGTATACAGTAAAATATTTTTTTTTATAAAAAGTTCATAATATGATCAATAAAAACGTGTAACATAGTTGATAAACAACTTATTTCTAACAAGACTGCCCATCTCATAACAAAAAACAGCCCTTTCATCGATAGATCGACACTTGATTAATTACCGCATTTTACTTTTGAACAATTTGTAATCTCGTGTCTACTTACTAATACGTGTCTACTTACTAATACTACCTGCCCATAAAAGAAAATGGTGGTGCACCCTTTTGTGTTGCGATGAGGTGAGATTGAGTTATTTGAGGCCTCCATATTAATATATTAATTAATATAATAATAATATTAATTCATAAAATAATAATATTATTACTTAATATAATAGTAATATTAATATTAATTAATAATATAATATAATATAATAATATATAAAAGCATAACATGTGAGTTACTATTCATTAGTGGCTCTCACACTCCTCCAAGTGCAAGTGGGGAATTTCCAAGTCCTTCTTTTACCCCACTCTTCATTCTACAATCTTTGTGTTTAGTTATTGTTCGCTAGGTTTTCGTCTATGGCTTTTTGCACAAATCATCGCCTTTGTGTTTTGTTATTGTTCGCTATATTTTCGTCTATAGCTTTTTGCACAAATAATCGTCTTTGTGTTTAGTTATTGTTCGCTAAGTTTTCGTCTATGGTTTTTTGCACAAATCATCGTCTTTGTTTTTAGTTATTGTTCGCTAGGTTTTCGTCTATGACTTTTTGCACAAATCATCGCCTTTGAATTTCCTTATTGTTCGCAATGTTTTCGTCTATGGATTTTTGCACAAATCATCGTCTTTGTGTTATCATCGCCTTTGTATTTAGTTATTGTTCACTAAGTTTTCGTGTATGTTTTTTTTTTGCACAAATCATTAATATATAAATTAAAAAATTAATATATAACAGCCTAACATGTGAGTTACTATTCATTAGTGTCTCTCACACTCCTCCAAGTGCAAGTGGGGAAGTTCCAAGTCCTTCTTTTACTCCACTCTCCATTCTACAACCTTTGTGTTTAATTATTATTCGCTAGATTTTTGTCTATGGCTTTTTGCATAAATCATCACCTTTGTGTGTTGTTATGGTTCGCCAGATTTTCGTCTATGTTTTTTTGCACAAATCATCGCCTTTGTGTTTATATAAAAGCCTAACATGTGAGTTACTATTAATTAGTGGCTCTCACACTCCTCGAAGTGCAAATGGGGAAGTTCCAAATCCTTCTTTTACCCCACTCTCCATTCTACAACCTTTGTGTTTAGTTATTGTTCGCTATGTTTTTGTCTATGACTTTTTGCATAAATCATCGCCTTTGTGTTTTGTTATTGTTCGATAGGTTTTCATCTATGGGTTTTGCAAAAATCATCGCCTTCGTGTTTAGTTATTGTTCGCTAGGTTTTCGTCTATGGCTTTTTGCACAAATCATCGCCTTTGTGTTTTGTTATTGTTCGCTATGTTTTCGTCTATGGTTTTTTGCATTAATCATCGTCTTTGTGTTATCATCTCCTTTGTGTTTAGTTAGTGTTCGCTAGCAATGCAGTCAAAATCGCGCATTAAAACGTAAAAACTTACGTTTTACTTATCCAGGCCACCAAAGCATTTCAGTTTCTACCTAAAGTCGCTTAGACACAAAAATTGGTAAAAACATGGGTAAAATCGGTAAAATGATTAAAATCGGTAAAATCACTATTCTGAAGCGTTTTTATACGATTTTGATCATCTCATAAAAATGTGCTAATTGGCCCAAAATGATGTAATTTTGGAGACATATCAGCAAAAAAATAAAAAAGGAAAACATGATTCATCACTCGTTCTACAACTAGTGTCGAGATAGGGGCTTCACATTAGGTTGAAAAGACACCTAATGTTATTCTCAACAGTCGCTGACCTTCTATCACTCTACTCCCTTAATCGTCACCTGTGGCTCATACCTGGGTTACGATAAAAGTTTATGGGTAATTGTTCGTATGTAATTATGAAAACTCAAACCAGCTTATGAGAATTTGGATTCTCAAGCTCGTTTATGGGTTACGATTTACGTTTATGAGCTTGTTATTAAGATGTTATGAGTTTTCTCTACTGTTGAGTCAACACAAATTAGTTTATGTGTTAGATATTACATTTTAATTATGAATTTCATGTAGTTATTCACTTATCTAAAATCTACACACTCACATTTTACATACTATATGTTGTACTTAACATATTTTAGCAATTTTAGAGGGTGCGTAAAAAACTTAAGCTTTTACGTTTTGATTCTACGTTTTACGATTTTACCTAGTTTCCGCTTCTAGGTAGAATCGCGCTTTTAACTGCATTGTTCGCTAGGATTTCGTCTATGGCTTTTTGCACAAATCATCGCCTTTGCCCACCATTTTGGAGCTCATCTCGAAATACTGTCTTCGGGATCCTACGTTGTTCCCCACCATCGTTTTTCAAGGCCGCTATCATGAGTTTTTTTATCGGGACCGAGTTTCATCCACTTAGTGTTTTTTCTTTCTTTTCTTCATTTTTTTTGAGTAACCCAAACACATGGGTTACCTACCTTGAACATAAAATCATCGCATTTGCTCATCATTTTGCAGCCCATCTCGAAATATTATCGGCGGAATCATAAAGTTGTTCCCCACCCCCGTTTCCCAAGGCCGCTACCACGAGTTTTGTATCAGGTCCGAGTTTCATCCTGTTTAGTGTTTTTTCTATCTATTTTTCCTTTTTGTTCAGCATGATGACAATTGAACCCAAACGCATGGGTATCCTAACTTGAACATAAATCATCGTCTTTGCCCATCATTTTGCAGCCCATCTCGAAATATCGTCGGCGGAATCCAAGTACCACATCAGCTATACAAGGGAAGGAACCCTTGTATATAAGTGTCCACCAAGCTCATTAGTACGAGGCCTTTTGGGGAGGACACCCAATAGTAAATCCGTGCGAGCTTGGCCCAAAGCGGACAATATTGTACTAATGGAGCGGCCCACTTATGACAAGTGGTATCAGAGCCTGGTTCGGGTTCAGGGAAGTGGACAACAGTTTGGTGGGACCCTCATTCGGTGGACCTCGGGATTTGAGGTCTGTGTCTGGTTTGGTGGATCCAGGAGAGATCCACGTTTGGGCTTTGGCGGATCAAAGAGAGTTCCACATTTGGAAAGCAGATCAAAGAAAGTTCTGCGTCTGGTAAAGTCCTTGTACTGAGAAACCCATCGATACAAGGCATTTGGCAGATCAAGATAATCGATGAGGTGAGGAAACGAAGTTCGTGGTCCTTGTCTTGAGGGGATGATGTTATGGGATAATCCAAGTACCACATCGGAAATACAAGGGAATGAACCCTTGTATATTAGTGTCCACCAAACTCATTAGTACGAGGTCTTTTGGGAAGGACACCCAAGATTAAAATCATGCGGGCTTGGCCCAAAGCGGACAATATTGTAATAATTGAGTTGCCCAGTTTCAACAAGTGGTATCAGAGTCTGGTTCGGTTCGGGGCAGTGGACATCAGTTTGGTGGGACCCTCACTCGGTGGCCTCGGGATTTGAGATCTGCGTTTGTCTGGCGGGTCAAAGACGATTCGCATATGTTTGGTGGATCCAGGAGATTTCCGCGTTTGGGCTATGCGGATCAAGGGAGGTTCGCGTTTGGAAAAGCATATCAAAGAGAGTTTTGCATTTGGGAAAGTCCTTGTACCGAGAAGCCCATCGATATAA